TACTACTACTACTACTACTATACTTGTTGGTTGTGCAACTCATGGGCTCTTATAGCAAGTTGCTGGGCTTTGAGGTAAACTCCAAACCGACGCCCAGGTTGCATGTTGCAGCGCAGTTTGGGAACAACGAAGCACTCCAACTGCTGATCCAGGTGCCCTCGCGGCTGTGCTCGGGGTATGCTGGTTGATGAATTCATGGTGTTATCTAGGGCTTCATAGGGCACAAATAAGGCTATGACTATGGTTAGGCTCTGAAACTGGGGTTGCCAAAACCCTAGCCCAAACACTAGATTACTTGGGATTCTAAGGATTGGGGCTAAGGGCTAAGGGTTCTTAATGCGCTGGGATTGCTCCACAGCCGTTCGTTTCGGATCCTCAACCCTGCATGAGTCCAGGCCAGAGAGAGAAAGAGATAGAGTGAGACAGAGAGACATTAGAAGGACCAGGAAGAAAGCCAACAAATAACACAGAGAAGAAACGAGAAGTATATCCTTCTGCGGAGAGCTTGTGAGCCTTGCCAGCTCCTGCGAGTGTGTTAGGAGTTTAATTGGAGAGTGCTCGAAAACTGCAACGGAGACGGGGCACTCAGACCCTAAACCCTAAACTCCTAAACCTATAAACCTTATACTTATACCCCATCATCCGCTAACGCACCAAGCACCGACCCCGCGTTTGAGCGCACGCAGCACGCCATTTCGGAAGTTATAAAAGCTGGGATGGTGTGGGAAAGAGACCTTCGCTAGCATGCGGCATTGTCTCCATGGCTGGCCAAGCAGGGATGCTTTGTTCTCAGAGCGGATTAGACCCATGGATGCACTGTTCTCGGATCCGATTAAACCATGGACGTCATCATGATTGGGCCATGGGTGCGTTTGTGTTCTCGGAACGGATTAGATCATGGATGTCATCATGGTTGGCCACGAGACCATGGACGTCATCATGGTTGGACCATGGATGCTTTTTGTTCTCGGAACAGATCGGGACGTCATCAAGGTTGGGCCATGGATGCTCTGTTCTCGAAACGGATTGACCATGGACGTCATCATGGCTGGGTCATGGATGATGTTTTCTCAGAACGGATTAGACTCGACCATGGACGTCATGGTTGGGCCGTGGATGGCCATGGATGTTCTGCGCTCAGAAAGTAGACCATGGACGTCATCATGGATGGGCTATGGGTGCGCTGTTCTCAGGACGGATTAGACCATGGATGTCATCATGGTTGGGCCATGCTGTTCTCGGAACGGATTAGGACGTTGAGTGTGAGCGCCGAAACTGAAAACCCAAGACCTCAAACCCAAAAACCTAAACCCCTAAACTCCAAACTCTATAAACCCCAAACCCCAAACCCGGACTGCTTGCATCCGTGTTTGCCTATGCGAGTATTCTTGCCGAAGCCCTGGCCCTTCCTCGCAGGAGAAGGCCGAGCTCAACAGCCAGGACCAGCTCCTTGCCGACGCACAGTTTGGGGTTTAGGGTTTAGGGTTTAGGGTGGGGTTTAGGAACTTCTGTAGGCTCGGACATTCAGGCGATTGCACAAGTCCTGATGCAAAAAGGGTCAGCTGTCCTGGCGTGACGTTGCAAGCCAGTTGCAAAAGGGTTTTGAAGACGAGGCCTGTTGCAACAAAAAGGGGGCTTCAAGATTCCCAGGTTTAGGGCTTCAGGGCTGAAGCTTCGGCGTGAGGCGGGCATGAGGGCATGTGCGATGCAGCCTCTCAAAAAATGGGCGAGGGTTTGGGGCTCAGGGTTTGGGGCTCAGGCTTATGAGGATTCAGAGGCTTTGGGTTTGGGGTTTGAAGTTGTAGGGTTTTGACTTGAAGATTCAGGGAGGTTTTCCCGGTTGGGGGTTTGAGGGTTTCGGGGTGGTTGAGGGGAGGTTTTTGGGTTTGAGGGTCAGGCGTCTAGGAGGTCGAGTCGAAGGCTCTGGGATTTTCGGGTCGTCCTCGGGATGGACTATGAGTTATACCTGGACGCTAAAGAACCTACCTTTTTTAGGGTTCCTTGTTATGGTTTCCTTCTTCTAAGTCCTTCAAAAGGTAGGTTGTTTGGGGTTAAGGTCGGTTAAGGTAGTTGGTGCGTCGGATGTAAGGGAATCGAAGCAGGGAAGGCTCCTCCCGAAATGGACCCATGCAGTGGTTTAGGGTATTTTTTTGAGTTTAGGGTTTACTTTGGCATAGTTGGGTAACATTTTACATTTTTAAAGGTACTTAAACCCAATAAGGAATATAAATGTAAATTTTTAATACTAACCCAACCATGAACTAGTTTAGGGTTTAGGGGCTGAAATGTGCATCCAGGAGCTGCCCGAGAAGACACGGAGATCAGCCCCATAAAGTGCGAGGCGTCTTAATATAGGACCCTAAAGCCTAAACCCTACGTAGGAGTCGGAATAGTTGGTAACAGTATCTAGGACCCTGAACCAAAAACCCTAAACCCTGACTACTGCACCTATGAATCCTCGCCTGGCTTGTCCGAGTTGTGAGAGTTTATAAACCCTACACCCTAGGAGTCGGTAGCAGTATCCCCTCATAGCCGAACGATTTCACCGTATGTTTATATGGGAGTTTCCGAAAATTGGGGGTACCTTATTTTGGAGTCCTTATGATAAGGATCCTACTATGTAGGATACTATATTAGGTTCCCCTATTTTCGGAAACCCCCATATCGCCCCAAACCTATTCGAGCCACTGAGGCCCATATATTACAGAAGCGTTATATAGGTAATTTCCGAAAATAAGGGGACCCTACTATTTGGGGTCCTGATAATGAGGATCCTGCTGCTGAGGGTACTGTATTGGAGTCCGCTATTTTTGGACACCCCCATATGTATCAAAGGAGCCTTATTCTAAGTGCTAAAGTGCCTGTATTATGACAGTGTGCTTGACTCCTGTTCTGGGCATCCACGCGCAAGATCTGCCTCGCTTTAGACAGCGGTACTTAGTTTGGCTCTGGCTCGGTTCGTCAGTAAAAGGTGGGAGTTTTGGCTGCGTCCTGAATATCACATCCTCGGAAGACTTGGTCAAGCCTTCATCCCTTCGGACCCCAACCCAATGCCTGGACGGAAAAAGCACGCAGCCCATTTTATGGGGGCTGAATGATGGCCAATTTTGTTCCTTAGGGCTCCCTTTTTTATGTATATTATAAGAGACCCCAGAATCGTTTGTAATATTGTGCAGGCCCCTACATCAGTCTCGCACGCCCCTAACTAAACCCTCACGCCTAGACCCCAATGCACGTTTCCAAAGTGAGGTTGGGAATGTCTCCTCTGCATCGGGCGACTCTCGGAGATAATGCCGTAGGTGTTCAACTTCTTCTCCAGGCGCCGCAGGGTGGGTTCAGGATTTAGGGGTGTAATATTGGCAATATGTTGGCAGTCATAAAGTCCGGCTTCAACAAAGGGTGTAATATAGGGGTCGGAATTCTCAGCAATAGAACCACCTCCCAGCCCCTGAATAGAACTCTACCATCATATAATCATATACCACAAAATCCTATTCTAGTTACGAAAGTCACTACATGAGTTATGATGCCTCTAGAAGGGGGCCGTGGCAAGAACACCTCTCCAGGAAGGTGGTAGTTAGGCTTCAGCATGGCTTTGGGGTTGAAGGATCTGATTGTGTTTTCGGGTTCGGGTTCAAGAAAGGTTGTCTATGCATGTTCAGGCTTTATGTTCACGAGCAGAATCCTTTAAATCGTCAGCGGCATCACCGGCACCACCACCAGGACCGTCATGGTCATGGCCATGCGATCATCATTCTTCCTGCTCGCTCTAAACACCCTATGAAGCCCGGAGCCCCATAAGCCATAAACCCCCAAAATGTCTCTGAACCTCCCAACACCCCCAGCAAAGCAAGCGCACGCGGGATCGGACCTGCCCTAAGCCCTAAGCCCTCCCTCGCCTGCATCGCCCGAGTTGCGCGAGTCTAATCCCAGAAAATCCTAAGCCCCCTAAGCCCCCTAAGCCCTACACCCCATAAGCCCTAAACCCTCTAAGCCCTAAGCCCTAAACCCTAAACCCTCTAAGCCTGCACTTATTGTCATGCCTGCAGTTGCGAGTGTGTGAGTCGAAACCCTCTAAGCCCTAAGCCCTAAACACAGGCAGGAGTTGCTAGGAGTGGCCAATGTGCTTGTCGTTCTGGTACTCGGATCCTCGCCTGCTTGCCTAGTTGTGAGTGCTGAAATCCTAAACCCTAAACCCTAAACCCTCAACCCTCTAAGCCCTATTATAAGCCCTAAAGACAGGCGGGATCGGACCCGGCCTGCCGCGAGAAGATCGCCAAGTTCACGGCCATGGGCCCAGCGGCCGCCTGGGGCTCCCTCCGAGGCGCCCTGCCGGGGCTTTTCTTTCAGGGTTTAGGGTTTAGGG